AATTTCTGACTAATCTTGCAATTTGTTGGAAAGAACCAACATCTGAATAGAACTTTATTTATGTACATATTTGCATTTTATATACTATGTGTGTCTGTTTACTGGGCGTGTATTTGTATATGCCGCTATTTTTTGTGAGATAAAGACGCCGCATCCCAAAAAGGTAACATACCATTGTAGCTAAGAGTAGAACTCCATACCAGGGCTTTCAGCTGTTCAGTGGCTTACAGCATGAAACTCCAGATATGGAGTTCTACTCTAATAACCTATCTTGTTTTTATGTCGATATTGATTAATTTCGCTTTATTTAATTTAGGCTCCAATGCTGAGGAAATTTGAAATAAGTGCCTAAAGGTATGCTGCCATTTTTATTGTAAAATCAAGTACACACACACCTTATATCTAGACAAGATTTTTATAGCAAAATGGCTAAAATATGTACCATTAACCGATAAGCAAAATGTATAAATTTGTTGTCGTTGTTGTTAAAGCATGCAAATTCCCCGAAGAGTTTTGGGCAGTGTTGCTGGAGTGACAATCCTTGGCCAGATATAAATCTGGGAATTGCTGATGAAAAACTTAGGTGAATATTTGGTTACTTAATTAATTTAGTTGATTACAATGATTTGAAAGGTACTCGGCTGTAAAAAAGTGTATTCGTAATCAGAATGCAATCGCAACCATAGCCGATATAGGAAACCCGACAGTTACTACGAAATAAATGTATATGTAGATGCTGTCTTTTGTCTATGCGAAAGAATTTTAATAATTGACTGCGATCCTTAAAAGACGTCATATCCGTAATCGCGCAATTAAATTTCTCATTCAGTTTCTTAAAACAGTTGGAAGTTATTTCAATGTGCAATGGCGGATCCAGTATGGCGGAAGATTTTTTTAATTTACCGGATTCATTTAAAGTTCATGACTCGTGGGTTATCGATGTCACTGACTACTAATCTGAAGTCGGATTATAAAAATTCAAAATGGGGGACCAAATATGGCGGACAAAAAATTCAAAATCGATTCAATTCGCTTAAAACTCTACAATTCGGGCTTCTTAAGGCCGCTGATTATGAATCTGAAATCAGATTTTAAAAATTCAAAACAGCGGATGCATATTCGGTCTACCATTTATCACGGAAAAGTTAGAATCGAACGTACGTACATGGCGTATGAGCAACATTCTCATCTCGTCCGGGTAACTCATACGCCATGTATGTACGTTCGATTTAAACTGTTCCGTAATAAAGTGTAAGCCAAGTACGGATCCGCCATTTTGAATTTTTAAAATATGATTTCAGATTTATAATGAGCGGCTTTAAGAACCCCTAAATGTAAAGTTTTGCAGCTTTGCATTTCGGGGTTGCATCCTAGCAGACAAAATATAAGCTCATCTTCCAGAAAAGCGAACACATTCCGACAGCAACTCCTATGCCCTCCCTATTTGAAGAGATGACCTTGAGGTTACCCTGCGTAGCTAATTCATCTGCCATGGAGTTCTCTGCAAGGTCATTGTGCGCTGGTCAGGTGTAGCCCAACTAGTTGCTATCGTACAATAAGCAATCTAATCGGTAATACACTGGTGTGTAGACACTCGACTGCCTCTTTAATTTCGGCCACCTTCGCCTGAAAAACGCTCGCCAGCCGCGATATGCACTGTCCCCTTTCTACGGGTATAGAGTCGAAGTTTAAAAAGTTTGCTAAATGTCTATACGTCGGGTGGAAGGAACAACCCGAGCTCCTTAGCGTGATGACCGAGCGAACTGAGACGGCCTTCTTGCAATATCTACGAGCATGACACTAACTAGTTATGCCGCTGAGCTAGATTAGGAGAGATAGAGCAGGCATTTGAACGCATTCTAGTGAATTCTACCAGGCAATGACCGCATCTAATATACATAAAATTGGCTTGATTATGGAAGTTGGACATTTGGGCTATTTATATCTCCTTGCGGCCGCTGTGGTGTGGTGCACTGTACCATTCCGCAGGGCTTGGGATCGAGCCCAGTTTTCGAGTAACCTCAAAAATTAAAGAAAATGAATCGACAACATCAAGGCGCACGCCACAAAACGGAGGAGAATCTCGGCCAAACACTGACATATTGTGATTGCCAATCTATTATTATTATTATATCTCGCTGTGAATAGGACTAGCTCCACCTTCCTCA